GGGGGGGGACTAATTGAGTTTCTTCCGTCAACATAACAGAAAACAAAAAAAAAAGCATCTAATTCTTCAGCTTTGTTTTGTTTTTTTTCTGCTGAAGCTTTGCCCCCCTTTGCTCCCCCTGGATCCGCCCTTGTCTATTAAGCTTTGGCTGTTGTGTCACAGCATGGGACAATCACAACAGAGCTAGGTTCCAACCAAGCGAAAGTCCAAAGATCGAATTGGAGAAGTTGATTTTTGAGGAGTGAGGAAAACTGGAGAGCCAGGAGAAAACCCCTTGAAACAAGGAGAGAACCAACAACCAACTCTTTTTACAGTACATACTACACCAAGACCGCACATTAGCAGCACAGTCATCCATGTTTTGATCCCTATTGCAATTCCTTCTGTCAGTTAGCGAGTGCCTGACTTTAATCAGCCTTGAGTTTGTTTCATTATTCAAAAGAATGGTTTTCAAAAGAAAATTCTAATGATGCTACCGTACCTTCCACTGGTGAAAGCAACTCCATTAACTGTACCAAAGGTTGATGCTGCCACAAACAAAGGAATAATCCAGTTGACTGGTCCAAGGTAAGCATTACCAATACTCTGGAAAAGAAAATAAATTATAGTGACATTCAACTTTGATCTGTGCTCAAGCTTTTCCAAGCTTTGGAAACAACCATGAAGCTATGTCACAATGGTCCCCTTCACAGTTTTCTGCGCCATCTTGAAAGGTAGCTGTGCCTTTGCATCGAAGCGAGACGAACAGTGAGTTTGCAATGACAGAGACATTCGAATAATTGCCTAAGGTGTTGAAAAAAGGTCTCTATCATTGCAAGCTCACCGTTCGTCTTGCTTCAATGTGATGGCACCGCTACCTTTCAAGATGGCACTGGGAACTGTGAAGGAGACTATTTATTTCACAAGTAATTTATTCATTTATTCATCATGACACAGAGGTGCTGATGAACAAGAACAGCAGCTGTCCATTTATCAAATGGTGTCAGCTTAATAAAGGGTCCCCTTACTAGAGGTATCATTGTATTTCACAAAGGTTTAAGAATTAAATTGTTTTGACTCAAGACATGGCTGTTATGAAACCCATCTATTAGACAACTAGAACCAAATATCTTACCACAGCTACAGCCTCTGATTTAAGGATACCTGAACCACCAAGCACAGTGATGTAGGCAACATTGACAATCAAATAACATGCAGTTACCAGACTGATGCCAATCATAATGGCACGTGGCATGTCCCTACATTGATTAAAAAAACATGATTAATACTTATAGGTGTCAGAGAGCATATAATTGTAAAAATAACTGCTGGCAGTCATGATCAACCGGCAAAATAGTCTTAGCTCAGCCATACTTCGTTTCTGGCTCAATGTTACTGGTAAAAATGTTGGGTAGGGCAAAGATTTAACCAAACAAGTTCTAATTTTGGCCAGAATTTTTGTCACACAGTTATTTTGAGCCATAATGTACAGTCCACTACAATTCATTTCTAATTGGGGAGAGAAGTTGAGTTTGATTGAACGTGTCACTCTCTCCCTGGTTGTTACCCAGTTCTCCCTAATCAAACTCAACATTGGAATCAATTGTGGCATAGCATTAGTGCACTCACTTCTAACCTCTGAGGTCTCAGGTTTGATTCCTGAAGTTACTCAATATGACATATCGTAAGTAGAGTTTGTTATGTCTCTCCCTTGATTTGAGAGGTTTTCTCTGGGTTTTCTAGTCTCTCGCACCTTTAGACTCAACAAAATTAAATTTCAATTTCGATCTTTTAGTTGGCAGTGCCCTAGTGTTGATGATGGTCCTGAAGAGGTAGAATGGGAGCTGGGATTCTTCTTTTCTGGGCTGGTAAAATGGGATTTTATGTACTGGGAATATAATACTGGTAATGGGATTCACAAACAAAGAAACATTAAAAAGTGGGAATAGGAATGAGATTTGATCAAAACATAGGCTGGGACTATGGGATTTGGTCAAAATGGAGCTGAGAAATGTGACTAGGACCCCCCTTCAGGACCCTCTTTGATCAAACCAGAGGTTCTTCTGTGGTTAGATACAAATATACTTGGTTTGGTTTAGAGTTTCCTGTTGTTCGAATACAGAATTGAATTCTATAAACTATTAAGATCAATAATTAAGATTCACATACCTGGAAGGATTTTTCATCTCTTCAGTACAATAATTAAGTGAATTCCTGCAAAATAACAACAGGATCAAGATTCATGCTATGTTAAACAACATTATACTGTAGTGGGGAATAAAAGGACACTGCTATTTCCTTCTTTTATTTTCCTGGGGTGGGGGAGAGGGATAGCTTACAGGCTGTATAGCTGGAAAGAAATACAGTACATCTGCTTTAGTATACAAGGGTGCTCATAACTTTGGGAGGTTATGACCAGGATTTTACAGTGTGTGCCTGCAATTCCTTGTATACTGTGCTTCTTTTCTTAAGTTCAATGACACCATTTTTTGTTACTATTGTCATTGAACTTTTCTGAGATAGCAAATATGATGTATTGTGGTCTACCTTGACTACAAAAAGTTTTTGTTTATCATGCCTTATATGTTGTTGTTTGTACCAAAGCAGTACATGTTTTCTATTTCTGCATTAAAGAACTTACCATCCATCGTAAGCCCAGAGTCCAATGTAGAAGGCAAAGCCTATCTTAGCAGGATCAGTCTCTGAATTCTCAAAGGCATTCTGTAAATTTTCAGTTCTCCCTAAAATACAAAAAATAAATACATCAATATATATATATATATATATATGTATAAATGAATGAAGGAATGAGTGAATGAATAAGTAAATGAATAAATAAATAAATGTATTAATAAATTAATGAATGAAAGATGAAGAAAGGAATGAACAATTAATGGATTGCAGTTTGAATAAAAAAGTGAATGTTGAATGGATTGATGTTCACTTGAAGAATGATGGATGAATGAATGAAGATGAATCATAGATGGATGGATGGATTAATAATGAATGAATGAAGGCAATGTGTGTTATATAAGTGTGAGAGTAAGTGAAATCTTTTCACTCCACACTCACCCCCACTACATCTGTACATTCACTAATATTTTTTTCACAATTATTACTATATTTATTACACATTTAGGGTCAAAATCAGTGTGATAAAGTTGTGAATTAAAACCATATATTCAGTAAAGTGATATGGTATCACTTCACAGTAAACTGGAAACTGTATCTACCTTAAATGTGTAATAAACAAATTATTGCATGTTAAGAGCCTGATGCTTTCTTATTCATGAGTTCCATATTATAAAGTGAATGTGTATGAGAATATATATGAAATATATATTTGTACTGCATTGTAATGTATTAAATTGAGCTAATCCTCGCAGTATGTGAAGCAACTTATGCATCTGCAAATTGAAAGACTCAGAAAAAATTCTGAGTCTTGACAGGATTTGAACCCATGCCCTGGCGATTCTGGTGCCATGCTCTAACCACTTGTCTACCAAGTGTCATATGAGACTTCAAGGACACATTACACATTAGGTGGGTTTATTATAAAGTGAACAAGGGAGTCCTTGTCAACATCTACAATGGCAACTCATAGGTYTGATTAACTATCATTATTACCTCTACATAATTCTACTACTCCAATAATGACTAACAAGGCGATACAAAGAAGCTTTGCATAAGTGAAAATCCTCTGAACCCTTGTTGCCCAGCGCACACTCCAGCAGTTAATCCCTGTCACCACCACTGAAACATAAAAAAGAAAATACATTTAACACGACAATCAATATGTGGTTTCTTTCTTATCTATTTAATTAAAGTGAGTAAAAGTGACTCTTGATTTTTGTTTTGTCCAAACGAAATTTGTTTGCCTGGTTTGTGAGATGCGACCTGCAATAAATTTTGTGTATCAGAGAGCAACGAAGATGAGCCGGCTGGACGGCGGGCAAAAGCGTTGCGTATGGTGAATGCTGCAAGAGGAGAAAAAAAGAATGAAAAACAGGTTTTAATTGTGGTCGAGCGATATATTTCGCCATTACGAGGATATGCATTAAACCGGAAAAGACAAACAAATGTCTGTGCATTCAAATTCCCCCATGAAATTATAGTCCAATTAAAATTATAATAACAATGGGTGAGTGAATTAAGATCAACATTGGTTAGACGTTTGCCGCCACGTAGGCCCTTAGTCGACCTTCCACCAAACCTATGTTAAATAGGTTTGGTGCGATGTTAGTCCAACGTTTGCCCTCCCAGGCCTTACTGAGCCATCCTACATTGAAAATACAATGTAAAATACAGTGAAAGTAGTCCAGTTTTTTTAAAAAAGGTTCAGTGTTTTATTTATAGTTAAACCATAAATTTTATTAATTTGCTTAGAATAGAAAATAGTTCTGAGGGTATAAAGTGGTACAGTTGGAACAAGACCAACTGAACTGTTGGCCGTGGCCTTGGCCCAATTCATTAATAGGTTAGCTGGAGCTGAAACTATGACAGCTATACAAGATATCAAGTTATATGGGTAGAAAGTTTTGCTCTTAAAAACCAAGTGAACAAAAAAAAAAAAGAACTGAAAACTTTGAATTAAATCAAATATAACAAAAATTTAAAAATTACAAGGCATAGAAACCTGGATTAAAATAGCACAAACAGACAAAAAGTATTGTTAGTAGCAATTAAGTTTCTGTGACATTAAAATACTACTACGAAACCTTTCTCCCCTCCCCACTTAATTAATTCTTAAAATTGTTTTTATTCAATGTTTGAGTTAGCAGATCAAAAACAGTTTTCTGTGTTTGATACTCTGATCAAAGCACGTGGGATGTTGAGAGAACACGAGAGGAGCGTAGGAAACCACAACGCATAGCGGAGTGGTTTCCAGCTTCTCRAGTGTTCTCCCAACATCCCAAGTGTTTTGACCAGAGTATCAAACACAGAAAACTGTTTTTGATCTGTTTTATAAAATAACAAACGTGATCGAAAAAAAACAAAGTCTATTAAGTAAATTCTCCCCAAAGTGCTGTCTTATTCAAAGTGACCAAAGAGTGCGTGTGATTAAAAATGACGATAGCGTGTTTTGATACTCTCATCAAACATGGTTTTTGACCAATCATAGTGCGCAAATCAAAATGCTTTACTTGTCGTTGCTACAATAATTTTACCAGCCATTATTATTATTCTAAAATTCACAAGATCATTTTGAAAACAGCTGCTACCATAACATATAGACCTCAATCCTAAATTTCTCTCAAAACAACAACCCACACACACCCACAACACAACTGCATGATTTTTAATATTCTTAATTCAAATAACTTATCCTCACAATGCTTAATGAATTGTTTTTAAACATACCACATTGTCTTACAAAATTCATCTTTAAAACATACAGAATAAACATGTTTGAGCATGAATTCACTTGCCCTATCACTTACATCTGTTAGTAAATGGTACTCTTTCAACACTCTAGCTTCTATGATCAATTAACTACCCATCAATTAGCAACCCTTTGGAAAACATGTCTCTGCATGACAGATGTGTTTTGTTAGGTTTTTGCCAAGAATTTCATTATTTTCTATCACTAGTTACTGTAGACATATTTAACAAATAATAGATGTATTTATATCTTTTATTTTTTCTTAAGAATATTTATGAGAAAATATAAATTCTTTTAGTTTGCATGACAAGTTCTTCATATATAATTTTCTAGCGTCTATATTTTTAATATTTGTAACATTTGTTATGTATTTTAACGAATGAAATAAAGACATTATCATTATTATTCAAAAAAGTAGTTTCCAATTATTTTAAATGTTTTATTAAAAAATTCTGAGGCACAACCACTAACCCAAAACTACCCACTTGAGACACCACCAGCTGTTAATGAAAATCAAATACTTTACATACAGAGGAGCAACTAYAGCATAATCTTTCCTCAAACACTAAATAGACAACCAGTTTAAACTCTTTCAATAATACTATATGACATTATTGTAACTCTTGTCATAATGTATACAGTATATACACGGCCTTTTGCAAAAATTATGGCCGCTTCCAATATATATACAAGTATATCAAAAGCATATCAAAAATTATCAGGTAGGCTCCCTTATATTTTTTTCGAGTTGTCTATCACTAGGGCTTTCTGAAAAAATATCAAGAAAGATATCCCGCCCTGTGTGATATACTTTCGATATACTTGTATTTATATTTGAAACATCCATAATTTTTGCAAATGGCTGTATATATATATATATATATATATACACATACATATATATATATCATATATATCTTTTTACACAGCTCAATGGGAGTGCACTGAAATTTTTAAATAAAGTTGATTATCTAATTAAACTTTTGACCATTTTTTTTTCCCTTAATGCTAAAAAAATTGTCACTTCTATGGTTTACACCAGACAGCAGGAAGTATCCCTCCAACATACATGTAGCAGGTGATTTATATACAGCAAAAAAACATGATGCAATATTTTACTTATATTGCTTCAGGGTTACTTCCTTTTACTCTAGGTAATTGGAAACCCATTTTTACAATTCAAAATAAACATTGAACATAATAAATCTTTAAAGTATTTAAAATTCTGAAAATGGGTGACCAAAATATTAATTTAAAAATGCACTTTTATCCCTTTTTTTCTGTTTTCAAATTATGATAATCAGTCCAGACAATATCTTTGTTTGAAAAAAATGCTTTTTTCCTTTGAAAATTAAAACTGGACTGAAAAAAACGTTTCTTTCTCTGCCTAGAGATCACAGTTAAATATCGTAAAGAAATTGTGACCGAAAATTCTCTAACAAAAATTTTCATAGTAACGATTTTTGAGCAGCGTAAAAATTTGGAATTTAAAAAAGCATGAAGTGATTCCCTGGTGAGTAAGTGAGTAAGGGCTTAATGACTTAATTATTCAATTTTCCTTGGATTTTAGGTTTAAAGATTTAAAATAATTGTTTTATTTTATTTTATTTCAACAACATAAAGTAGAAAAGAACAAAAAATATACGTATCATTAATCGAAAACAACTTTTTTCATGTTAGGAGTATTTTATGCCAATTTGAAAATTTTAATTAAACTAGCCGTCGAAAACTCTTTTCACCTGCCTTAAGCCTGATGACAATGAAAAGATTGCAGCTTTTAAATTATATATATGAGATTTTTATTAAAAAGCGAACCAAAAGAACAAATTATATGTATGTTAATTAATTGGAAGGTGCACGTGTACGAAAGCAACAAGCGTAAATTTCATAAAGCTTTGTCTGAGGCTCCTAAATAAAACAACTCAAATAGTCTACTTTTTGTATGAACGCCTTATGTTTTCACTAAGATCCCTTCTGTCAACAAAAATACCAATACACTTAAGCTATATAAAGATTAAAAAATAGTCTTACCTATACAAGAAAGACCCAATAGTTTGATTACAGCTTCTGGTGGTCTACAATCAAGAAAGAATGGCTTCGCAACGTACTCGGCGAATATAAGCGAAACGATGGCACATATCGCAGGCCTGTTGATGACAATTCCCGTCCAAGCAAACAAGAAGGCAGGGATAGGACCAAAGGCTTTCATAAGGTACGCATATTCAGCTCCTGATTTAGGGACGGCCGTTCCAAGCTCGGTATAACAGAGACTTGCAAGCATCGCTAAGACACCACATCCTAACCAAACTATTAACGAAAGACCGATGGATTTCGAAGTAACAAGGATTCCTGTCGGAGAAACGAAGATCCCAGAACCGATGACCGTCCCTACGATGAATGAGATTCCACTGAGTAACGTAACGCTTTTCTTCAACTCAACTCTATTAAGATTATCTTGCACGACCGGCGCTTCGGGATCTTGGTCGGCTGGTTGCTCTTCTTTTGGGTTGAGAGGAGTTGAGGCATCGTGTTCAGAATTATCCCCCGATTTCTCGTCTTTGTCAGCCATCTTGAAGAAATTGAGAACGTTAAGACCTAAGTAGCTTGGTAGGTAGTCAAATACTCGTCAATATCAAGAAAACCTGATATAATACTACTATATACACGAGCTACTCGACCTCAACCTTTACTAGTACTCGACTCTCAGTCTAGTCATGTTTATTGTGGTCAGAAACAACCAATCACAGACACGATACATGAAGCCTAGCACGTGCACACGGCGTGGAAAGCGCGGGAAAACTGACCGAAAATGGACAAATGTTCATGAAAAATGTCATATTTTACCAACTCATGAAAGAAAAAGAGTTTTTATTTTGATTACAATGCTATATAAACAAAAGTTATTGATATTCAAGTGTTATTTTTGACTTTCGCGGTGAGGATCTTTCCTCGGTCTTTTCTCTTTTATTCATTAGTTGTTGAAATGATGCAATATATACATGTCACGCTCGTAAAATGTAACGCATGCCTGTCAACGGTTTGCGTTGCGCTATGATAATATTATTTTGTAAAACTGAAAAAAAGAAAAGAGAAGATTGAAATGATAACATTTTWAAAACTCGAATAGGATTTTAAACCGTCATCGTTTAACTAGAGAAACAAATAAATAATACATCGGAGATGAAGAAAAAATCTATTTTTTGACGCCAAAAACAGATGTTCAATTAGTAAATTATGGTAAGCCATTTCAGCGCCTCAAGTTCCCACCGCAGTAGCCAATCAGGAATCAGAAAATGCTGGCTATTTTTCAAAACATGTTCTGTATTACTTGTGGTCCACTCTAGCGCTAAAAAATTACTCTTCCGATTAGTAGTGGGAAAAGGAAGCTTTTTAATTTCATTTGATTGACAGCTGGGATTCATCGGTGAGAACTAACAATGCCGTTCAAGATGTTAGTTACTATATTGTGGTTCAAACATCAGGAAGAAGGTAGAATTCTTTAGTTTAATCAAAAGCTCCGGAAAATCATTACAGTTATTAGTTATAAGCAGGTATATGGAATAGAGAACAAAAAGTCTAATTGAAAACATATGCTGTTGGGATCAAATGTAAAAGCACAGACAATAAATTCTCAATAAGCCTGAAGCGAGATGACGTTTTACCCCCGTCTCTAGACCATAATCCTTTTCACACTGCTTTTGTTCTTTAATTATGACTATTGTTCCTGTATTCTCTAAGGAATCAAAAATTTTAATATGAAAGAATTTTTAAAACTATTATGGTCTAGAGACGGGGGTAAAACGTCATCTCGCTTGAGGCTTATTTATTGGAATGCATGAATATGGATTTTTTTAGGTCCAATTTTCCTCGAAGAATGGGTTCCCTGTGGTTAGCAAATCTATCCGTTCTTCTCCGTCGAACTCGCCATCATTTTAACACAGGAATCCCACGGAGATAACATGATGAGTGCAAGAAAAAAGGTCTGAGCTGGGAGATACGATGCYGTGTCTCAACACTACTCCTCCTCCCTTCCCACACACATTCAGTTTAAGTTAACTTTTGTATAACGTAATGAGTGTAGCCAAGAGAATATGAACTAAGAGAAGGGATCCTACCTATATAGCCTTGTAACCAGCATGTGCACAGTTTGATGCTATTTTTAGCTTGGACATGATATTTTGAGCGAAGAACCAGATTGGTTGATTTCTTGAGGGTAGGCGGTTTCCAGTCTTGCAGTAAACAAAGCCTGTGTTTTTGTCGTGGACGTAGCGAAATATGGCGCTTTTCGTGTTCTAAAACTAGGCATTAAAGGCAAGCATGATTATCGCGCGGGCATGGTAACGAGTTAAAATTAGCATCAATGATTCTAAAAATAGCATCAAAGTGTACACATGATGGGGCACGGAAATTCCTTCTCTTAGTTCATTTTCTCTTGGTGTAGCTAATGAGTGGCATGCGTCTGTATCAAAATCACTGTCTTTTAATACTGTTAGCGCCGTTACACTCAGTAGATATAATGTTCCTCGCACTTGTGGCATAATTTTGCTGCGAGACTGAAGCTGTGTAAAGTTAGCCTACTGGTATAAATCACTAAGAATAATACTAAAGGGAATAACAAGTGATCGATAGATTAGGTATATTCAGATTGACTAAGGTTCGTTGGTATTAATAATTTCTTCCTATTTTGAAAGAATCTTATAAAATAACTGTTATGAATGTCGCGTTCTGATTGGTTTGGAGCGCGTACTTCATGAGAGCACATTGCACGCGCGCGCACTTTCCGTTGCGTCATTCCTATCTATTATTGGAATTTGTATTTTATAAAAGAAATAAAAAACTTGCTTGCTGTGCTGTGTGCAGTCATAAAGCACTTGGGGATTGGCAGAACACTCGAGAAGTGTAGAGAAGCACTCCGCTACGCGTCGTGCTCCTCCTAACACTTCTCTCGTGTTCTGCCAACCCCCGCGTGCTTTATGACAGCACACAGAACGCGCGCGCGTTTTCTATTTCTTCAGTATTTCCATTTTAATAGGCAAAGTAGTTGTAATATATTTAATCACTTCTTGTATCAACGTAAGAGGGCCTATTCCAATTATATCCCAAAGGTCAGGGAAAGACTGGTTACGATCTAATGGTTCGCGCAAAGGATTGTGGGACTGATTTCGGAGAAGCGATATCGCATGGGTTTTTTTAAAGTGGGCTTTGTATTTTTCTCGCGACACCGCATGAAATTTGTCGCCGACGACGTAGCAAAGTAGAGCTTGTTTGGCGTGTAACAGTTTTACCGAATGCCAATAATAGGAGCCCACAATCCTCTGAACCAAAAAGTTGTAATCAGTCTTCAGTGTGCTCGCACACTACAAGCCGGCTACGTCATCGTTACCGTGCGATTGCTCGTTCACTATGAATAAATAAAGGATTAATTTTGCAGGTGTATTGAATGTTTTTATACTACCCTTGTTGCCGCAGTTCGTTATGTACTTCAATATAGATCATGTCGCGGTGCTGCTACGGCTGCATTGGTAGAGAATAGAGTGGCCACGGCATTTTCCCGTTCAAACTAAAACAATTAAGAATTAGTGGTAAAGCGCACAACGAAGCGTATATACAGTAATGGAATACAGTAACTCTATGGCGGGAAATGCCAACTAGAACGAACCAAAGCGCTTCATGCGGCCACCGAATTTGATCTTCGCTTCCTGTCGCCGTAGTACCGTCTCACCGTAGTCAATGAGAGTTCCTCAGTGTCAATGCAAATAAAGCAGGATTTAAAGTTCTAAGAATTAAGTCTGCAAGTAGTTAAAATCAGTGAATATCGTTTTTGACTTTATGTTTCACAATACCACAGCTTTCTCCAAAGGTAAAAGAGCTCATTCCATGGTAATTGATGCCAAGCGCCGACGTCCCAAAAGTACTATTGGACAAAATGAGGAAAAAACACTCAGCCAGTAAGAAATGATCTAGGAAAACTCCCAACATTCCTTGGTAAGTTGGAAATCGTTGTTTCTGGAAGATTCCGATATGTTCTGGCTCCACATCCAATGTGAGAACTTTGCCAGGATATCGTTGTAAACCATATTCTTTGACCGCAACGTGGTCAGTGGCTAAGAACCATTTTATATCAGAACTTTTTAGGTTGGGATTAGACTTAACGATGGACTTCTCCACCACTTGCGCACAATTGAAAAAGCTCTCGAAGTTTTTCGTATTGACACGACGTTTTCTACCAAATGCAACATCGCCCATTCTAATATGCAAGCCAATCACGGGCGTACCCTCCTCAAAGCTTGCATTTTTGATCTTTGATAACTTATTATCCAGTTCGGGAGATCTTTGGAATAGAAATTCGTATGAGCATCCTACGAGAAGGTATTTTAAAGGAGGGAATATAATTCCCATCTCATCGGCTAATTGAGAGAGGTAAGGGTTTGACCATATCTCTTGCGCAAAATTCCAAGTAGCGGTAATCACCTCTACAGGTCGGTTAAAATAGCTGTTAAAATCAACATTACGAAACCAACGCGCAAAATCCGGGTAAGAATTACCAGGTTTTTCGAAGTCTTTCTGATGTAAGTTTTTTGGCAACCCTTTGCCCCAGTAATGAGTCCTAGATTCAAGGCCTTTTAAATTTGCTACAGTATAATTCCATTTGATTCGTTTTGGCCAGAGAAAGTTTTCTAGTGCTAGTGGGGCTGGATCATTCCAGTCTATGAGAAAAGCTCTTTTCGTAAGAACCGCTAGAAGAAACAAGGATGAAATCCCGCCAATTCGATTGCCGTATCCCGCACAACCGTAGCCTTTTCCTTTGCAGGAATAAACCAGGAATTTTCGAGGGCGTATGGAGTTGAGTATTTCATCATGTACGACTGCATAGTTCTCTTGCCAGCCCTCCCCACAAAGTTTCTGACTATTGAAACGTTTCTCATTGGTTTCCAAATATACATGAGATAAGTTAACGACTCTGTCTTTGTCCCATAAGCCGAAGCTGGAGCTAGGCTTCACGGTTTTTACGCGAGTCATTTGTCTATTATTGCTTTGATTTTCTTCAGTTAAAACTGTCTGAGGTTTTCTTTTCGGTTTCGATAAATTCTGATGACGTCTTTTATGCCTTTTTCGCCGAGGTTTGACCAGTCTGCTGTAGTCTTCTTTGAGGTCAACCATCTTTCCTTGGACGTGAAGAACGTTCCCAAAAGAGTCTTCAAAAACTCGGTTAAATGCTATATTAGCTGAAAAATAAATGTGGAGGAATTCATAAGTTATTGAGTACAGTAAAAACCCGCGTATAAGAACCTAAAATTTAAGAACCTGTTAGGCTAAAATTTCATTTTTAAGCACCCTTCACATAAGAACCATTTTAGGCTAAAGTCCTAAAACAGGTTCTTATTTTTTAAAAAGAAAAAAAAATTAGAATCAATCTTTTCAAAAATTTATTTATAACACACTGTGTGTACACAATAATGCTATAAACACTATAACTGTACATGGTTACTGTAAAGAACATGTCCTCATTGAATAAAAAAATCCAACTTAAAATGAAACTTGATTTCATTTCTTGAACAAAAGTTAACCTAATTAAGAACCTAGTTAGCCTAATTTAACACTAAATACCATTTATATAAGAACCTGTTTAGGCTAACTTGAAAAAACCTAGGTTCTTATACGCGGGATTTTACTGTACCAGAGTTAGACTCGGTTTGCCTAGCATGTTGCTTTTCTGTTGCTCGTATAACCTAGCTACAGTTGTCGACAGATAACCACGAACACTTTACTATTGTAGATCCCCTTTCCCCAAGTTCAAAGTTGGTTTATTTTCGAAGTTTCCCATCCTTTAGCTGGGGGAGAGGGGGGAGTTCGCACTGCTTTTGTCAAGCACTGTACCTTTACGCTTCAGGATGACATTGATGGGTTAATACACATTGAGTTTTATTCTCATGGCTGCCGCGCGATGAAGGTCCATGTATCACCTTCTTATCTATAGTTTACTTTACAACATTATGAATATGTTCTGTTCGTCATGCCCTTGTAACTAGATTATTAATGACTTCGTAAAGCTATGATCGTGTTAGTGTCGTACCAAGCAATTTGATTGGATGAGTAATGATCTCATGTACTATCAGTTTGGTTCAAAGTTCGTGTATCCGTATTGTGAGCTTGTTGAATGCTGCCATGGTTCCCACTGAAGCCGTATGCTGTATGATTCTGAAAAAGTCGCGGTACACAGATGTAATGTCGACCTTAATGGTGGCATGTGCGAGAGCATTCTCATTTCATTAGATGAATCAGTGATCACGTGCATGCCGTGGTTTGTTCGGGATGTCGTAAATTCGGTATTGTCATCGTGCCGTGCCGTGCAGTTTAGAAGTTTAAAAATCTATACTGAATTGATCATGAAAATGCGCGTATAGTGTGCTTAACAAAATAAGTATACAAAGTAATCAATAATAAGTAATAGAGCGTTAGAAGTGATTTTTGCCTCTGGCTCGAGAGACTAAGGAATCAGTAATAATAATTCCGTAATGATGAAAAGGTAAATTATACACCGTGAAAAGATGAAAAAACTTACTYATCTTTTCACGGTGTATAATTTACCTTTTCATCATTACTGTTTCATTAGAAACACCGACGCAGCTCACACTAGTTTTTAGCTAGTTATATCTTAATAATAATTCCCTTCATAGTTGAAGCTGTCAAGAAAATTATTCTCGAAATCATTACCCATTGCTTGTCGAGGTGTCCACGAGATCTGACTAACCACCATCAAAAATAAAGCACAGGTCAAAGGAATAACAAGCACGAAGCTTCTTAGTGAAAATTGCCTGCGAAGCCATCGTGGACGCCAAAACCTCATAAAGCAGCAATCAGATGTTGCAAGTCAGATTCTTGGAAGCTATGAAAAACAAAACACAAGAGTAAGCGGCAATAAAATTCCAGAGTTCAAAGAAATTGTCTATAGTGTCATCACGTTRATTAATGTGAATAAGTCAGATGTCGTTGGTCCCATGTATCATATGTATGACACATTTCATGATACCACTCAATATTAATGTATTTTAGAGTGGAGTCTCAGGCAAAAGCAATGAATTAATCACTGCAGCTCCAAGCTAAACTGGTGTATCCATTTTCTACTATAGACTTGGAAATATGTAACTAGTAAAAATTTGAAAACTAAGACTGAAAGCTGAAAGCTAAAGATCGAACATCTAAATTTGTGCTGGAAAAAAATGGATCCGCTTTACGGCTCACGCTATGGAATCTAATGGAATCTGGCCTGCGATCAGGTTTCCTTTTTCTTTTCTGTTGATGGAAGCAAGGATAGCGCACYGAGGGAAAGTGCAAAATTCTCGAGAAACTTAGCGCGAATTTACTGTCTTCACGCCTTGTAGTTTATCTGTTTCAAATGGAGTGTTGTTGAATCTTTTTATCTTTTATTTTTTGCCTTCGCTTGGTAAGGTAATAGGAAGTTATAACTTCCACAGATGACTGCTGATTACAGAATTATAAGGAATCAGTATATGACAGATAACTGGAAAGAAAAGCATGCACTTGCACTTATGATGGCTATCAAACAAGGTGAAAATGTCCCATAAAAAGTAAAATGAATAAATGTAGGAATCATACTCCGATAGAAAAGAATCCGTACAATGATGCACTTGTTACTTTGTTGTATAACAATACACTCTCAGTTCTTGACAAAAAAATTTTTTACGTTGCCGAAAACTTCTCTGACTATATAAGCCTAGTTCGTTAACTATTCACAGCCTAATACTTTTTTAACCATATACCTGCCTTCGTCTTACACTAGCGAGTCTGCAATTATGGATAGAAATGTTCCAAAAAAAAAACATGGCTTTTATGACTGCTCCCATTAAATTGCAATAAAAGCTGGTTTGAAAAAAATATCAGCAAAAATGAGACAAGAACAGAAAATAACTTATAAACTTACCCTAAAGTGGATGACAAACGTTGAATACGAGAATTCGGAATTTTTCTAACAAGGCTTAGTATTCTGTGCGTGAGTCTTACACAGCTATTAGAATTCTAAATTGGTCTGATAAATGACCAAACGCGCGCCAAAAGGGCTGTTTGACTGACTCAGCTGCCAGTAGGACTAGACTATGGAGCGTAAACGTGCTCGAGGTTGGGTTAACGTGATGTAAAGTGTGCGCAAGCTGCTAAATCCTGCCACTTAAAAATCAATCAAACTCCCACCAATTGGATACGGAGCAACCGAATATTATATTACTGGTGACTTTGGAGACCAATTATACTAATATCAATGGCGTTCAGGCAGACAGTAAAGACTAAGTTGATCTCGTGGTAAAAGTTTAAACACTGTTGAAAAACTACCAGCTCGAGCATAACCACAAGACCAAGAGTCGCCTTTGCTGACCGCAATCTCCATCACGAAACATTAAACTTGATATCTCTAGGATTTAGATAAAAAGCGAGTGGTTTTGGGTGAAGATAAAGTTGTTAGAAGCATCTTGACTGAGTAAAGCCGAATTGACATAAAAAGTGATTAAATTCAAAGAAAAAATGAGAGCAATAAAAGCTACAGTCTAGCGTCCCCTCTGAATACACTACTGATTTCATACCCCTGCACGTACGGCAGTGCAGAGCCATCGAGGAAAAGGCAAGGGGAACTATCGATTGTTGCAGAAAATATAACTTTCGTGCTAGAAAGAGAGTAAAAAACTAGACGGTATAAAGAAACTGTGATGCAAAAGCTTTTGTAAAACTACGTATTTTACAGTGTTATATAGTCGTGGCTTCTTATTTTGGTAGGTTTTGTGTGCGGAAACGAAGAAGCTAAGCCCGCCTGATTTTTTCTCAGTCCATGTCGCGGTTTGATTGCGGAAACAGGCATCGAAAAGTATCTTTTCTATAAGGAGATTTCCTGGTTTATAGTTTATCGAATAAAATCGGCTTAAATGCTAAAGAAAATAAAGCGAAAATACGAAAATGAAACTACAACCTAAAAGTCACAATCTCCACTTATCAATACGTTTTTGGTTTTTTTTGCCATTTCCTCCTCATAGGAGTTACTTGAGATTTCTTACTGAAGACCAAGGTTCCCTAACAACAATTTAAGAGATTTATTAGCTATTAAATTTTAAACTGCACTTAACCCAGATGGTTACTTTTTACTTTGGCATCTAAAAACGTGCGCTTATTTTCCTACTGCCTTGCATGATGGAATCAGGAGAGATGCAGGTTTATGGAATCGCTAAAAAAATGAAATTGAACGGACGCTTTTGTGACTGTATTGTGTTAGAGACACTCTCAATTATGACTTGAATCCTCTTTATATAAAGGAATTTGATGATGTCTCGCTATATTATATTTGGAATGGTTGTCGGGTCTATTTTCTGGCCTATAATACACTTTACAAAATTACTCTATTTTGATGGACAAGAGGAGTACAATTAAATCCCAAATTGTACTCTGTTAAGTTGCTCAGTTTTGTTGAGTTTATGATAAACAAAAAATCGCACAATCTTCTCGTAGAATTCGGAATTTATAGATACTCGTGATGTTTTGAAAGTTCTCAAATTGAACATGCCTAAAGACTCGTCCAATTTTGAAAACTTTCAAAACATCACTCGTACCTATAAATTCCGAATTGTACTCGAGATCGTGCGATTTGCTATACTTATCAGGGACATCGGAGACGGAGGGCTAGAAGGGCTATAGCCCCCCACCTTGCACACTAAACTTGCACATCTACTTGCACGTTTTGTATTCTGAATTGTAGCCTCCCCCCCCCCAC